CCTGACCATTCTTCCTTGGTGGTGGTAGGATCCTCCTCTCTTTTCTGGAATTGGCTTTAAGGCAAAACTGACCAATCCCCTTGGTGGGCCACAATTACCCTATCACACAGTCCTGCCCAATCACCTGGGTGGGAGTACAAGACTATGGCTAGAAAGGCCACACAAAAGTAATCAATCGCATTGCACACCTCTTAGAAGAAAAAGGATAATTGAAATTGTGGAACAAATGCCTTATAATCTCTCCCTTTCTGAGATTTAGCATATTATGGAATTGTCGTTGCTACTTGTCATTTTTTTCCATCCTCTTCAACTTATGTTTTGCTTAATTTTGTCTATTAACTAACTCATACGTCTAACCCCTTAAATGTTTACAATGCATGTTGGAACTGAACATTTATTGTATAGCTTATTAGGTAGACATAATTAGCATGGCATTGTAGTTTGGGGGAATTGACTAGGCTTATAAACATCAACAAAATATTAAAAGCCAGTGGCTAGGCTCTGGATGGGAAAATTAGAACAATTCCTGCCCTGGGCCATTTGCCACGCAATGATGGGAATATTTATGGAACATGCACTATGTGTTAGGTATCTCGCTTAAATATCAAACCAACCTATAATCAATCACCTCAATTTCACGGAGGAGGGACCCAAGGCCCAGAGAGGTTTATGTATAAATGTAAGTTCTCACTGGCAGAGCTGGGACTCTAATCCAGACAGTCAACCCCAGAGCCTGCACACCTAACCCCAGCTCTGTAAGCTTCCTCAGTTGCCACCTAAAAGCTGGGAACTTCTGGAGCCACAGTGAGACAAGTGGTCCCACATAAGCTGCCCAAGGCAGATGGGAGCTGAGTGAGAGAGAGTTACCTGGACTAGCTCACTTCTTCCCCATCCTAGCCATTAGCAAGTTTCCAGTTACTCCTTTATTGTAAGCCACAGTTTGTACTAGCATAAGGTAAATTACTTTCTGAGACCTAAGAAACCACTCCTCACTTCTTCCACCCCTTTATTCCGTCACTTTCCAGGTAGTCTCCCATCTGCCCGGTGGTTTGGAATTCTTGAGCTGGGTATTCTTAGAGCTTTGCTGAAATGGAACAGGGTGGTTTGAGGCTTTAGAAGCCTGAACCTTGCCCCCTTTCAACACACGGCAGATGAACTTCTGAATGGAAAATCACCTCTTACTCCCCAACAGTCAGCTTGGCACGAGCATGCCCTCAGCTTCACAGAAAACTTACTTGTAAAGTCCAGCCTCTCTTGCTGAAGATAGGGAAACGGAGGCCCAGAGATCTGTCAAAGGTGATCTCTTCCTCTCTACCTGTGCTGTCCAATATAGTAGCCACAAGCTACATGTAGCTGTTCAAATAAATTTAGAAATCTAATTCCTCAGACCCACTAGCCACATTTCAAATGCTTAGAGCTAATGGATATTGCATTGGGCAAATCTTCGGTGGGGGGGGGGACCTCTAAAGTTTTAAAAAGCCAAGATGTCACTCTGATGACCAAGGTGCGCCTGACCCAAGACATGGTATTTTCAATTGCCTCATATACATGCAAAAAATGGATAATGAAAAAGGAAGACAGAAGAATTGATGCATTCAAACTGTGGTATTGGCGAAAAATACTGAATATACTGTGGACTGCCAAAAGAAAAAGCAAATCAGTCTTAAAAGAAATACAACCAGAACATTTCTTAGAAGTGAGATGGCAAGACTTCGACTCACTTACCTTGGACACATCATCAAGAAAGATCAACTGCTAGAAAAGGACATCATGTTTGGTAAAGCAGAGGGCCAATGAAAATGAGTGAAACCCCCAATGAGATGGATTGACAACAGTGGACTCAAATGTATCAACAATTGTGAAGATGGCGCAGGACTCAGCAATGTTTCGTTCTGTTATACATAAGGCCACCATGAGTTGGAGTCAACAGCAACTAACAACAATGGCTACCATACTGGACAGCACAAATAGAGTGCTTCCATCATCACAGTAAATTCTATTGGACAATGCTGCTCTGTACAAAGCCATGGCCTCAGGATACCAATCTGTGGGAGTGTCTGCCTGCCCTTTCTCACTCCCGTGGCACTGGTCTTCAGAGTCTCTTTGAGTTTTCTCTTCAGGGTTGCCAAACCAACCAAGTCACCTCCAGGATGTAAGGAGTCTGTCACTCTCATAGTTAACAAAGTGCCAAGAATTTTTTTTGAAGGTGCCGGATTTCTAGGTACCTTAGAATATCTAGAAATCCTAAATGGAAACACAACCACACACATATATGTATCAGGCACACAAGATAATGGTTCAGGCCAGGGCTGCTTTATGGCTTGCTCCACCAGAGCAGGAGCAAAGAATGGTCTCCCGCCTCCTGGGGTGGTGGATGTGCTGGGCAGACTCAGCCTTTGTCATCAGGCAGATTTGAGTTTGAATCCTGGCTTTGTGACCTTGATTATGTAACTTAAGCTCTGTTAGCTTTATAATCCTCATGCAATATTTAAAATTGGGATAGTGATATATGACCCATAGGGTTGTTTAAAGCCAAATGGTAATTTCATAAGCACATAACAAGCACCCAGTAACTATGGGTGTGATTCCCCTTCTTCCAGATTCATTGCTTAACTCCAGATTGGCTGAGAGGAATATTGCTGAAGTAGTGGTCCCCCACCGCTACCAGCCCCCTGCCCAGCATACTGGAAGTATAACCTGACCCTACGAATGCCAGTAAATTACCATTAGTCCTTAAACTAACCCAAGCCAGATTTGGACCGCCCTGCATGTGCAGAAGGGCCAGCTGTGACTGCTAATTGACCTCAACAGAGGAGACAGCAAGAGGAGGAATGAATCAGAAGGAAAATAATCACCTGGACCCTATTCTGAAGTGAGAAGTCCAACAAGTACCACATCACCTCCTGTTTCCTGGCTGCCTTCTAGAATTTTCCGTCCCCAGTATGCCTGCATGGCCACCATCTTGCTACCCAAATCACATACAAGCCCTGATTCCCCGTAGCTCGAGGAGTTGGATCTGAGGAACTTCCTCCCGGCTCCTTGGTCTACCAATTGCAATAAAGTTACTTTCTCTTTCTCAAAGACAGGAGTCCAGCTTATTGGTAAGTCTGAGCGCGATGGACAGAACTCACCTTCCCAGGTTCGGTAACAGAAGGAACTGCCAACTACCTGCTTAGTGTGTACCATGGCAGAAACAATAAGCTGACTTTTTTTTTTTTTTTTTTTTTAGCAGCATATTCTTCCTATGAATTTGTAGCCTTTTCATGAGGTTTACTGGCTCTTGGACGATGTATGTATTATAATCACCTATTATCCTACAGAAGGCTTTGAGGAATAGTTTAATAATTAGCAAGTAACCTCTTTGGAGCCACACAAGCTCAGCACTCTGGGGTAATTTACTTTTCCCACAATCATAGAGGAAACAGCATGAAATAAGTCATTAAGGCAGTCATTACCAGCCTGGGCTTTGTGACACCCCTGGGGATTTCCAGGGATCTCCAGAGGGGTTATAAAATCCTCAAATCAAAATTTAATTTGAACTCACTTTAATGTTTTTTAAAATGGCACATGGCATTTTGAGGACAAGAAGAAAAAGTCACAAAGTTCACAAACCCATGAGGGCATCTGCTCTAAAAGGCTGGAAATTACTGCATTATTGAATCAGCTCTCACAGTAAACGTTCCATTACAAAGGCCTGTTGAATTTGGCCTAATTCATTACACCGTAAAGGACTTTTATTTGTTTAGTCACATCTTTATCATTTAAGAAACATTTAAAAATTGTATTTATTTTTATTTCAACATGTCAACTGTGTATTTCCAAAACAGCAGGCTTTTCAAAGGAATAAAATCAGAACTGTAAACACAAGATACAGTATAAGTTTTTGACTTCTGACAGTTTCACAAATCCACATACTGTACATTCATAGGTGGGGTTCAGCCTGTCACCCATTTATTTATTTCTACAATTACATAAGCATAATAAATACATCTGATTTTAAAGGTCACTTAAAATGAGTCATGATAATTTACAGTACAGTACTTTTCAGTTCAAGTGCAAAAATAACTATTTACTTAATTCTATTTCTCTCTGCTATTTTAGTTTCAAGCCGTGTTTTGTGGTGCAGCTAGACATCCAACTGTAGAATTTCCATCTCCCAGATGCAGTGTGAGGCAGCCCTTTGTGTCATGGAGGAGCCCTCACTTGACAATTGAGGCCGTCCAATCAGGGTCAGAGGGCAAGGTGAGTTGCTGATTTTAAATTTTGTTCTCTTCTTTCCTCACTCCTGTGCTGGTCCACAGCTATTAAAACTAGTTGACCTTCAGCTAAGCAGTGTTCCCTTCTCCAGGGCCCTCTCCCACGGCTTCCTACGAACCTCAGCTTTCATTTTTAGCAGCAAGCTTTCGGCATGATTCACCCAGTCATTGTCCTGACTGTCACTGTAATGTTTATAATTGCATACCCGCATCTGAATTCTCCAGTGTCTGCCTCTCCAGTGCCCACTTTCCCATTCTTCATGGGAAATAATACACTGAGATTTGCTCTTCAGTCGTTGGAAAGTAGAGTTACTTTTTATTCCTTTCCTTCCCATTCCTGGTTTCCTATCCACTATCCTTTCCCCTAACCAAAAACAAAGCGATAAAAACTGACCCGTTATGTAATTTTTACAAATTGTATCTATCCCTCCCCCAGGCACTTAAATCTTATACTGTTATTTGTAAATAAACAACAACAACAACAAAAACCCAAACCCACTGCCGTTGAGTCTAGTCCGACTCATAGCGACCCCATAGCATTGCTTAATTAAAGAAAGCCTTAGGAATTCAGTTATTTTTGTTTTGTTTTATTCAATCAGCTAATTAGAGCCCAAATCACTATGAAATGGTAAATAGTGATAAAGGCTACTTACAGTATCAACATATTTAGTAAACCCATGTCTAACAAGCCACAGGATACTGAGTTGGTTTATTTTAAATATTCCCTCATTTCTGGTCTTTCGTAAAGCCCATTTTAAAAAAAAAGGCATTTTAAAACTCAGTTTAGCTTGCAGTCATCAATAATAGCTTTTGCTGTTCAAACAATCAACTATTTTCATTATACCCCATACACATATAAAAATATACTTGCTAGGATGTGTAAAGTTTCTCATGAAAATTTTTCCCTTTTCTTTTTAAACAAAAACATATATGTTCCTAACTTTTATCTGGCTACTTTTTAAATATGTCTTACAATTTTTGAAATGATTCTCCTCAAGAGAAACAAAATTATAGATGTATGCTGTTTCTTCCTGGTTTACCCTTAAGGACCAGCTCATTAGAATAAATAATCAGAAGAGGGAAATTATATCAGCATTCACCTTGAGACATGCTTCCTCCACTTACTCAGTGTAACTGCTGGTTTCAGCTCTTACTGCACTGGCAGAGAATCCTGTAGCATTTAACCTCACCAACAAAAAGAGCTGAGAGTCCTCATTGAACTCCATTTCCTTTCTGTAATTCCAATGGGATTATGAAAGTTTACCTTTTCCTGCCAACATGTACTGTAGCTCCTGTGTGTGTGCGTGTTTCAATGTTAATGAGTTTAGATATTTAGAAGCATATGTGGTGCTATGATCCTCAAGGGGAGGTGTGTCCTGGGTTTGGGGCAACTCTCCTCTGTACTGGCAGCGGAACCCATTCCATGCAGGGTGTGAGATGAGCAGGTCCCCTCAGTGTCCTCCTGCAGCAGGCTGGGCCCACTGCTCTTGACTTGCCTCCACGCGCTGGTCCACACTGGGGTGAGCAGGGCTGGTTTGAGTCTGAGATGCGGCTGCTTTAGGGGCTGGCTGATTTCTGGATGGTTCAGCATGAGTCTCACGCGGGACAGGCTGGGCTCCATCAGCTGGAGAATGTTCCCGATTCTCACTGGTCCCCTGGGAGGGAAACCGGAGATAACCTCATGGTCAGTGACAGCAAATAAATCTAACACTTTTCATATGTTTTCAAGTTAAGATATAAGAAACATGGGGGAACCATCCTGAAGTGTCCACTTCAGGGAACAAATAATAGAGTAATAAGGATAGAATGTCTTACCTTTCATCTCCTTTCCTATGTGCAACTGCCAAAGCCGCATGAAAAACACAAACACTATGAGTAGACGTCTCTCATGGACAGAGGAACATTACTACCAAGATGCCTGATACTGCTAGTCCAGCAATGTACATCAGCAGATATTGACTGAGCCCCCACCAGCCACTGTGGCAAGTCCCTGGCATGCAGCACTGAATAACTGAAGCTCAGGCTACTTGCTAAAAACCAGTTGCCATCGAGTCAATTCCGACTTACGGTGACGCCATGTGTGTCAGAGTAGAACTGCGCTCCATGGGGTTTTCAATGGCTGATTTTTCAGTAGATCGCCAGGCCTTTCTTCTAAGACACCTCCGGGTGAACTCGAACCTCCAACCTTTTGGTTAGCAGCCAAGTGTGTTAACCATGTGCACCACCAAGGGACTCTGTGCCACTGGCTAGGACCACAGAATTCAAGAGTGGGAAGACACCTTGTTTGTTGTTGGGTGCCATCAAATCAATTTCAACTCACAGAGACCCCATGTGACAGAGCAGAATTACCCTTTAGGGTTTTCTTGGCTGTAATGTTTACGGAAACAGATCGCCAGGTCTTTTTTCTGCAGAGTGGCTGGGTAGGTTTGAACCACCAACCTGTTAGCAGCTGAGTGCTTAACCATCTGCACCACCAGGGCTCCCATATGCCTTGTCTAACAGTGAGTAATAAAGCATTCTCATCCTCAGAAATAAATCCAGGAGAAACATATCCTGGAGTTAAAAGTCCAAATTTATATTTGGGATATCAAACTACACTTAAATAAGACAGAACATCCAGGCTAAAAAAGGGAATGGAAACAGGCACTTATGTAACAAACTGTGAGTACCTACTCACTCTAGTACATCACCTGCAGCAGTTTCTATAACATGCTATGTTCATTTTGGTTTTTACAAGCCAGGAATCATGTTTTTAAAAAGATGGATTTTTCCTCTGAATTAGTATCCATTGCTTTAAATAGCTAAGCACAAAAAAAAAAAAAAAAAATTCATTTCTGTGATTGTCTCAAATGTAACCAAAAAAAAAAAAAAAAAACTTAGCATAATGATGTCTTCATAAGAATAATTATGCCACAACATCTAACAGTTCTGGTTAACTTTAACATACCAGGGGAAAAAGACTTTTTTTTACAGTGCTATTTCAGCCTTACAGGCTTCTGTGAAAATGAGGATGAGTACCCAGAGTAATAAAAACATGGCTATTCAAGCACCAGGTATCATCCTTTCTCCTCTTTCACCTCCCTGCTTCAAGATATTAGAATCCTTTATATTCTCTGCCTACCCCGATACTCCAGTTTTTTCTTTTTAACATTTTATTGTGCTTTAGATGAAAGTTTACATAGCAAATTAATTTCCCATTCAATAATTCATACACAAACTGTTCTGTGATATAGGTTGCAATCCCTGCAATGTGTCAGCACTCTCCCCATTTCCACCCTGGGTTCCCTATTTCCATTCATCCGGTTTCCCTGACCCTCCCTGCCTCCTCATCTTTGCTTTTGTGCAGATGTTGCCCTTTTGGTCTCGTTTAGTTTATTGTTCTCATCCTCATGGATGTTACTGTTGATTTAACAGGCCAGTCTATTTTTTGGCTAAAAGGTGAGCTCTGGGAGTAACTTCAGTTCCAAGGGTGTCTAAGGGCAATAGTCTCAGGGGTTCCTCCAGTCTGTATCAGACCATGAATCTGAATTTTATTCTACATTTTTCTCCCATTCTAACTGGGACCTTCTACTGTGATCCTGGTCAGAGCGGGTCAGTAGTGTTAGCTAGGCACCATCTAGTTCTTCTGGTCTCAGACTAGAGAAGGCTGCAGTTTCTGTATGCCATTAGTACTCTGGACTAATTGCTTCCTTGAGTCTTTGGTTTTCTTCACTCTCCTTTGCTCCAGATGGGAAGAGACCAATAGCTGTATCTTAGATGGCCATTCGCAAGCTTTTAAGACCCCAGATGCTACTCACCAAACAAGGACATAGAACATTATCTTTATGAACTATGTCATGCCAACTGACCTAGATGACCCTAAAGACTATGATCCTTAGCCTACAAGCCCAGTTACTCAGTCCCTCGAGTTGTTTGGTTATATCTATATAAAGTTTCCCTAACTGTACCCTCTATGTGCTCTATAACATATATGAATATATATGTAGTACATATAAATACGTATGTAGAAATATCCGTATCTACATATACATGCGGGTATACTCCTGTACGACCTCCCACACCTATTTAGCATACATATTTACCTTTTATCCACTCGCAAATTGTTGTTTGTCATTACTGTTGTTGCAGGATATGTTATAGTAATCTATACGTTATAGTATTCACCATGGAGCCCTGGTAATGCAGTGGTTAAAAGCTACAGCTGCTAACCAAAAAGTCAGCAGTTCAAATTCTTGCATACTTCTCAGTGTCTTCCTTTGCCTTGGTCACATTGTGCTGACTTCCCCCATACTGCCTTTCCCTTCACCAGAGTTAATACATACCTACAATCTAGTCTGTGATTCTCCCTCTCCCTCCCACCTCTGGTAACCATCAAAGAATGTTTCTGTGTGTAAAGCTATTCCTGACTTTTTAAAATAGTTATCTCATACAGTATTTGTCCTTTTGTGATTGACTTCTTTCACTCAAAATAATGTCCTTCAGATTCATCCATATTGTGAGATGTTTCATGGATTCATCATTATTCTTTACTGTTGTGTAGTATTCCATTGTATGTATGCACCACAATTTGTTTATCCATTCATCCGCTGATGGGCACTTAGGTTGTTTCCATCTTTTTACTGTCATGAATAATGCTGCAATGATCATGGGTGTGCATATGTCTGTTCGTGTCACAGCTCTTATTTCTGTAGGATATATACACCTAGGAGTGGGATTTCTGGGTTATATGCTATTTCTATTTCTAGCTTTTTAAGGAAGTACCATACCATTTTCCATAGTGGTTGTACCATTTTACAATCCCACCAGCAGCGTATAAGAGTTCCAATCTCCCCACAACCTCGTCAGCATTTGTTGTTTTCTGTTTCTTTGATCAGCGCCAGCCATTATCGTCAGGGTGAGGTGGTATTTCATTATAGTTTTGATTTGCATCTCTCTAATAGCTAATGATCATGAGCATCTTTTCAGGTATTTGTTAGCTGCCTGAATGTCTTCTTTGGTGAAGTGTATGTTCATGTCCTTTGCCCATTTTTTAATTGGATTGTTTGTCTTTTTGTTGTTGACTTATATTCCAGTTCTTGATTAAGCAAAGGATTTATGTGAGTTTATTATCTTGATGGATAAATAAATAAGATCATGCATCACGGCTACCAATGAAGAATCAGACTGGGTTAAATTATGCAAAGATTCTATGTTAGTTTACAAATTCATGATAAATTTAATCAAGGTGGTTCAACAAATTTTCTAAGAAGGAAATTACCCAAATTACCCTTTATTTTTAAGTCTTTCCCCTTTCTTTTCTTATGTGTCCTGTGAAGTGACTCTAGATACAGAACTTATAATGATATAAGTAAAAGGAAGTGACTGATATAAAAAGGGGGAAGTGGACTCATTACTTTGGCCAAACTGTTCATAGAAGTCACTTATTCATTTTTCACAATCAGGATATAGTTTTAGTTGCACAATTACCCACACTGTTTTATCAACATGATTTGATTTTACTCAGGGGAGACCAGTGAAACCACACTTCCACTGAGTTAGGTGCTCTATCAGACCATGCAGTGGCTGCATTGATTGACTCTGTTTCACAGGTATTTATTGAGGTTCTCTTACATATAATGCCCAGCATTAGAATTTTGGAGTTACAGAGATTAATATGGGTCCCCCAGGTCAAAAATCATATATTCTCATTATGCCTGGCAATTGCCAATCCTGAAATTTTAAAGGAATATACAAAATCAGAGTACTTTTATTTAATTTCATTCAAGAAATACTGCCTCCTCTGTGAAGTCTTCCTAAATTCCATAATGCAGAATTTTCCCTCTCTGGGCCCTTGTATACACCTCTATTATCACAGAGTAGTGAAATTATTTATTTGCATGTCTATTTTCATCAATAAACCTTCAAAATATCTTTTTGAGTGAATAATTGGATAAATTAAAACAACTGAGCCCACTTAAGGTATCGTTGATGAATGGTCATATTGCTAACAGCAGAACAATTTTACCTGTAAAGGTTGTATTTCAGAAGCACGGCTGTCTCTTGTTAGTTGCATCCTCTCTTTAATTTGGTAGAGCACATACACAAAGGTCACCCAGGGAGAAGAGCTGACTCCCCAGGCTGGTTTGTTCACATCTTCCTGTTCTTCCTGGTACTTGGTTTTCTTGGGCGGAAGTCTGGGCTCAATGCGTGGCATGACATCTTCTGTCTGTTGCTGTACCAAGTCGATGGTTGCTATGGGAACAGGACTAGAGGGAACAGGAATCCTCTCTGCCAACATTGTCTTGTCTGGAGAGAAAATAATGTTTAAATCATGTCTCAGGGTTTTCATATTTAAACAAAGCCAAAAAAGCAACAATCCCATAAGCCCATTCTAGTGTGCTGAGACAACATTAATAAATTGCTGTTTATCAGGGACTTCTTGTTGTAAGCCTGAATAAATAAACATGATGTCATCTTTTAGGGTCTCCTTATAGGGTTTAATATACAGTAAGTTGCTAGAAAAGGACATCATGTTTGGTAAAGTAGAGGAGAGCATCAGCAAAAATGAGGGAAACCCTCAATAAGATGCATTGACACAATAGCCACAACAATGGACTCAAATATACCAACAATCATGAAGATGGCACAGGACCAGGCAACATTTCATTCTGTTACACAACGGGTTACCATGAGTCACAGCTGATTCAGCAACTAGTAACAACTTATTAAATCTATTATTCATTTAACTTAGATATAACATCTGTGGGATGGTTATAGTGAATGCTGCCTTACCCATTTACAGGTTTGTGATTTTAAAGATATACATCAGATATACAGGGAAAGGCATGTGATAGCTGTTTCTATTGGCCTTTTACAGAAGGCATGGACCAAGGCTGTATAAAATATGTGATCCAGTTAGGATTATAAAAGAACATGAGTGAGAAAAATCAGTTTGATCTTTCTGAGTTACCTACTGGAATTAAAATCTATTTCTGGAGTTTCTGGTATAAGCTAGTTTTTCTCTCCAGGTAGAAGCAAAGGCTCCTCAAAGGTAGGATACTCAACGAAGACGAGCCCTGTTCTAGGACCCAAGAACTGAGCAAGATTATTACTGTTCTACTGGTTGGCCTTCTCCATAAACAAAGATTCAACTTACTCTTTATCTACACATTGTATAGCCATTTTTTAAAAAGGTCATGCTTGCTGCAGAGAAAATTTCAAATTTAAGGTTTAGATGTTTCAGAGTTTTTTTTTAAAATGAAGGCAAAGGCATAAAGATGAATATCACTTCCTATCCCCAGTAGTAAAATTACTTTATAACTTTATATATATTTGACTTAAATTTGAAATTCCTTCAGAATACCAGAGAAATTTAAAACTTTCCCCAGTACCTCGTACCATAAAACAAAAATGAGAAAATCCCAGGCTACTTAAAAGAACCAATATTCTTTTCAACATAGTAGGTGGCTTCTCTCAAGCAATGCTATTCATAAGTTCATTTATACACCAAATAGATCTGTTGTACACTCTGTTACCACTTATGGGGTTATGTAGTGTGTGTGTAGAATTCCCATAGTTTGAATCTTCAGAACCGTCAAGAATGGGGATGTTTACCTTCTTCCTCATCTGGCACTGCCAGCCACTGGATCAGGGCAAAGAGCAGGAGGATCACCAGGCAGGCCATGCCAATTCCTCGGAAGGTTGCAGCAGCCCCTGTGAAAACAAACAGAGCACTGTATAAAGTAATTCCGGGAAATGCTGACAGCCCTCATCCAAAGCCGTCAATGTTCTGAAGTGCAGGCAAAGGCAGCAGAACTTGGGATGAACCAAAGAAAAGCGACTGGCCATTAGCTTGATATAGTGGTAAAAACACAGGGCTGGGTAGGTATCAGGAGACCCAGGAGCTAGTATTGGATCTGTCCTAGGTGAATTGTGTAACTGTATTTATAAACGATTGTCTAAGTGCCTTTTGCCATAACATTCAATAGTGATCTCCTTTTCATAAAGACCATTTAACCCAACTGTTATCAAACAGCTCTATTAATCTGTAGCTGGAACAGCAGAGCACAAATTGTGCTATGAATTCAGACATCTTGGGCCCACCGTATACAGATAACTGAACAATCAAGATCCCTGGAGCAGAACATTCTTCATTTCCACTCCAGCCCCCGATGTTTCCAATGAAGGAGATCTGACAAGGCAGACAGACTGTGTTGTTACAGATGTAGTGACATTACCAAAGCCAGCATATAGTTAGATTTTTCTGGTTCACAATCTCCTGATGGAATAACAATGATAGATTTTCTTTTCCCTAGCATTACTATCATCAGGTTTAGGCTACCTTACTTAAAACCAAAAGCACACGTGCTCATTCATTTGGCTCATCTGAGGTCTCTGCAGCACCTCACTGAGCAGCTCACCAGAGGCGCATGCATGGTTACAGGCTGGCTCTAATCATCCTAATGACCGAATAAGCACACTGCTTTACTGTTATGACTACCATGAACTCTAGAAAGAGAGTATGAATACTGGAGTTCAGTTTCTGGCAATCTCCAGTAATAACTTGAGTGTTTACTGAAGTATTGCTGAGAAATCAAACTTTTATCAAAGAGGAAAGGAAAAAAGAGAAAGCCATTCTTACCAAAATAATTGACTAACACGCCTCCGATCATGGCACCACAGCCTCGCCCCAGACCCAGGTGCAGGCCCTGCAGGATGCCCTGGGCAGACGTCCTCAGCTCTGGGGGAACTGCTGCACTGAGGTAAGAAATGCAAGCTGCCCAGATGGCCGCGTGGGTCACTCCTGGAGAGACAGAGGAGAAGAAGGGGTTGTCTTGTCAGCACTCCATGGTAACTCTTTTTTGAAACGTGAATTATATTATTTCTTTAACTACTACTACTACTAACCACTACTCTCTGCCATCGAATTAATTCCAACTCATATCAACTCTATAGGACAGAGCAGAAGTGCTCCACAGGGTTTCCAAGGCTGTAATCTTTTTTTTGTTTTTTGAATGTTCTTAGTGCCTTTATTCATTACAAAAACTGGAAATAACTTAAATGTTTCTTAACAGGTGAATGGATAAACAAATTGTGGTATATCCATACAATGGAAAATTATTTTGTAATATAGAATAAATTATTAATACATGAAATGACATTGATGCATCTCAAAAACATTGTTCAGAAACCAGGTATAAAATAGTACATATTGTATGATATCATTTAGATGAAGTACTAGAAGAAACAAAACTTCTATAGTGACAGAAAAGTAATCAGTAATTTTTTTTATTGTACTTTAGATGAAGGTTTACAGGACTAGCTTCTCATTAAACAGTTAGTACACATATTGTTTTATGACATTGGTTAACAACCCCATGACATGTCAACACTCTTCCTTCTTGATCTTGGGTTCCCTATTACCAGCTTTCCTGTCCCCTTCTACCTTCTAGTCCTTTCCCCTGGGCTAGTGTGCCCCTTAAGTCTTGTTTTGTTTTATGGGCCTATCTAATCTTTGGCTAAAGGGTGAACCTTAGGAGTGACTTCATTACTGAGCTAAAGAGGTTGTCCGGGGGGCCATACTCTTGAGGTTTCTCCAGTCTCTGTCAGGCCAGTTAAGTCTGGTCTTTTTTGTGTGTGTTAGAATTTTGTTCTACATTTTTTTCCAGCTCCAAGGCTGTAATCTTTACAGAAGCAGACTGCCACATCTTTCTTCCAAAGAGCAGCTCATAGGTTTGAACTGCCGACCTTTCTGTTAGCAGCCAAGCACTTAACCACTGTGCCACCGGGGCTCCTTCTTTATTTAACTAAGCACCTACATTTTAACATTAAGATTATTTCTATTTTTTTTTCCATTAACACCATGATTAACATTTTTGGAGACAGAGATTTTTACAAACCTTAGATTATTTACACTGGCTAGAATTCTACAAAACCAAACCCGTTGCCGCTGAGTCGATTCCGACTCTTAGCAACCCTACAGGACAGGGTAGAACTGCCCTATAGGGTTTCCACAGAGCAGCTGGTGGATTCGAATTGCCGACCTTTTGGTTAGCAGCCAAACGCTTAACCGCTGTGCCACCAGGAATCCAGAATTCTACAAGTGGGGTTGATTATTCAAAAGATACAATAATTTTTGTGCTTTTTAATATATCATTACAACTTGTTTTCCAAAAGAGTGTAGTGAAAACGTACAATACCATCATTACCAGTTTTGTTATATCTTCAACATTTGCAGGAAGGGGAGGGGAGAGGGTGGAGATAATAAATGAAAAAAAAAATTGGTCATTATTCTAATACACAGCAACTATCCACTGTCTGAATTAAAATTTTTATTAAGGCACTACTTTAAATATAATAAAAAGATACTGTTGCAAAAGGCTTATAGCTATACAAGATTAAGAAATCATTTGGTTCTGCTGAGATTAAGTCCTGGGCTTACTCCTTAAAAAATATTCTTTTAGGGGCAATATCATCAGAAACAGAATTTATATCTTGGAAAATTAAACTTAAAAGACCAATATTCATTTAATATTTGATCTGATATTAGTCTGCTTCTGACCAAAATGGAACAAGCAATAGGAACTGTACTTACCCTCCTTCCTGAAATAACTAGAAACCAGACAAAATACATGAAACAGCAGCTCTCAAGGCACTGGACATCAGATAACACAGGCAGTGATCCTTGAGACTGGAAGCAAACGAGGTACCCAGCTTACTGCCTAGTGAAGGTTTCCAGCCATGGGACAGGGATGGGGAACAAGTGAGTTGAGAAGATGGAGCTGAGTCTAGGGAGACCAAGGCAGCTGGAGTTCACAGGGCAGAGTGCCACAGAGGAGACAGTTTCAGAGAGAACTCCGAAGGCTGCTGAGGGTCCCCTCAAGTACTTAGCAGAGGACTGATCAGCTCATGCATGTGAGGAAACTACGAGAAGCCAGGGAAAGAATCATCTAAAAGGATTAGAAGGAACAATCTCCAAAGCTCACACAAAGATGCTGCATGAGCGGGAAAGATAGAAATGCCCTGTTTTTTTCTCCCCCTTCCTCTTTCATGTTTGGTAAGGTAGAGGGGTCAGCAAAAAAGAGGAAGACCCTCAATGAGGTAGATTGACACAGTGGCTGCAACAATGGGCTCAAACATAACAATGATTGTGAGGATGGCGCAGGACCAGGCAGTGTTTTGTTCTGTTGTACATAGGGTTGCTACGAGTTGGAACCGACTCAACGGCACCTAACAACAACAACAGCCTCTCTTCCTGTGATCTCCCACCTGTGCCTCTCATTAGCTCACTGATCAACTTTGGCTGCACACACGAATCACCTCGGGAGCTTTAAAAAGTATGAATGCCTGGGTGCACTCTTAAAGTCTGGTGTAACTGTTCTCACATGCAGCACTGGGAGTTTTAAAAGCTCTTCTGGTGAGTCTAATGGTTAAGAACCACTGCACTAGCTGAACGCAGGCAGAAACCAGGAGACTAGATCCTGGGAAACACATCCAACAGAAATCATCAGCAACCTGCCATGCAGGGTGCGGAAAGTATCTGAGAGCCAGTGGGTGTAGGATCAGCAAAGATGGCACAATGAGGTGAGTAGAAATAAGGGAGAAGGGTGAAAAGCCAAAAAAAAAAAAAAAAAAAATAGGCATGATCCTCTCTAAATTCTTCAGTGGCCAGAAAATTTAGCTTCCTCTGTGAAGCCTTCCCTAATCACCCCAACTGCAGGGATTCCTCCCTCCTGCATGTGAAGAACTCCTCAAAGCCAGGGAAAGAACTACCCAAAAGAATTACAAAGATTAGTACTCAGAACCCATATAAGGCTGGACACAGTTTTGCCGGACTGGAAAAACTCATGATTCACGCATGGGGCTCACATGGCCTCTTCATGTGTCTTAGGCTTCCTCACAGCATAGCAACCTCAAGGCTGTCAGACTTAAAAGGGTCTTGGGTCAATAGTATAAAATCATTAGCCCTAGACTAAACATGCTTTGGTCCCACCTAAGTAATCTTAAAAGCGAGACCCAAAGGATCATACTGTTTCCAGAACAAAGCTCAAGAATATTTATAGGAATACAAAAATATCTGGCACCCAACAAGGTAAAATTCACAATGTCTGGCATTCAATCAAAATTACCAGGCATGATCTTCCTTAGTAGATCCATAACGAAATAAATACTATTTTTACTGGGTACATTGGATTACATGCCTCATAGGTAACTGTCTTAATCATCTAGTGCTGCTCTAACAGAAATACCACAAGTGGGTGGCTTTAACAAAGAGAAGTTTATTCTCTCACAGTCCAGTAGGCTATGAGTCCAAATTCAGGGTATCAGCTCCGGGGAAACGCTTTCTCCATCGGCTCTGGAGGAAGGTCTGTGTCATCAATCTTCCCTTGGTCTGGGAGCTTCTCTGCGCAGGAACCTCAGGTCCAAAGGACGTGCTCTGCTCCCGGCACTGCTTTCTTGGTGGTATGAGGTTCCCATGTGTCTCTGCTCGCATCTCTCTTTTATATCTCAAAAGAGATTGGCTTAAGACACTATCCAATCTTGTAAACCTCATCAGTATAACTGCCACTAATCCATCTTATTAGATCATAGTGATTGAATTTACAACACATAAGGAACTCACATATACCCTCATCACAGTGATAGAGTTTACAACACATAAGGAAATCACATCAAATTACAAAATGGTACACAATCATACAATACTGAGAATCATGACCCACACATTTTTGGGGGGACATAATTCAATCCATGACAGAAACTAAGAATCATCAAAATAATTGTTTTTAAGGCCTTATATGTTTCAGTCATTATTGCAACTAGGTTATCTTTAACTAGAAATGTGGGCTAGATGGTTAGAGTTAGTTTGCACAACTTAATTTCCACAGAAGTCAAATAAAGTACTTGCTTTATCTGGACAAACAATTGCAACACCATAGATAATGCCAACTTTTTGAAAACCGAATAATGCACAGAGTCTTAATTATGAATGTTGACACAGTAGAACACAATGGGAATATTTTTAAATATTTTCATTTGTATTATTAAAGATGCTACTCATGTCATTTCTTTCCAGATGTACATTATTTTTTCATTAACAATACTAAGAAAAACTCAAACATATTCTAAGAAATAAAATGAATTTATCAAAATTAATTAGCTTCAATAGTAAAATCCAACTTAGGCATTGGGAATCATTTTAAAGACCTAAAACTACATCAAATAATTTTAGGTCATGTTAGTGGTGATTTCAAATATATTGTTATGTCTATGAGTAATCCATTGCTGGATTTGCAAGTAGACAAAAATGGGCCTATATATTTATAGGACTGAAACATTAAAATATCTATTGTTGCTGCTGGAGCCGACCCACGGAGTGAGACAGCTGAGTGCCTGTGCGCAGAGCTGAGTGCCACTGGTGGAGTGGGTTGCCTCTAGGCACTTATCGGTGGAGGTACAGAGCTTTGAAACACTTGCCCCAGCAGGGCAGATGCGGGTGTGAAGCCCGAGGGCTGAGAGGCCAAGGAACCAGAAAGCAGAAGCTGAAGAGACAAGGAACACAGGCCTCAGTCTCAAAAGGTACGGCCACAACTTCTGGGATTTCAAAGGGTTGAGCCATGGCCTCTGGTGTTTCTAAGGGCCGAATCGCCACTCAGATGGACTAGAAGGATGGTACACCTAAAGCTGAGGGAGCAGAGCTGCCATCCCAGTGGGCCTGGAAGGTGGAGCTGAAGCCCAGAGCCAAGGAACTTCCACTCAGAATCTGGAGAGTGAGGCCAATACCTAGAATCTGGAGGACAGGGC